ACTTAACTCACACCATACCTCTAAACTTAACCAGTAAAGCACAGCAAAGCTGCAAACAAAGTGAGGACATTGAGGACCTAACCCTAACCTTTACCATCTTGTTGAAGTGAGAATAATCCATCACTGTGATGTGTTGAAGGTCTGGATGACCTCGGATCAGTGAGGTCTGATCCTGTTGGACCCAGGATCTCTGGAGTTGGTAATATGTGTGTGTTTCAGAACCGAAGAGGGGCCCAAATCCAGGAGACTAGCCTTCCTGACCACCTGGAACAGGAGAGATCCAGATCCAGGTATGTGTGCTTTGCTAGAACTAAACTAAAACTTGAAGCTGGTGTTCAGGTGAGAAGCTTCAGGTGAGTCAGAGCTGTCCTTCAGGTCGGGCAGGAAGCAGGTTCTGGGGGGATGGCGTGGCTTCTCGTCAACACAGCCTTCAGATCCCCTGTAATGGGGTCGGCTTGATAACTTTTGCAGTTTAAAATAAAAGAATAAAATTCTTCTGTCCTCAGATGGTTAGCTCATCCATCTGAATACATCCTAACAGCTGGAGAACAGCTTATTTACCTGCTCAAAAAACAGAAGTTCAGTCATGTCCACTGCTTGTTGATTAAACATGGGAAAGTGTGTTTTCAATGAGACTTGACTTGATATCAGTGATTTTTTTCACTCGGTTGAAAGTGGTTCACAGCAGTCAGATATGATCGTTTCATTCAAATAATTTACCTTCCATGGACCTCCATCACACAATTTTTCCAGCAGGGAAATTACATCAATAGAAATACATGGAGCTGGATTTTAATTTCTGCAATAAGACAAAACAGTCTTGTTATTTTCAAGAGTTTTCACTTGTTAAACAACTGATGTTACAATACAAAGAGTTGGATGTTGTCTTGATATTTGTTAAATTTATATATTGAGAAATATGTTAAATAAAAAAATAAGTTTATTATTAAAAAAAACATACACAGTACTGAAAATTGGCACCATTAAGTACCGGTACTGATTCCCAGGTACTGGATATTGGTACTGAATCAATTCAAATTTCAAAGGTACCCATCCCTAAACACCATATAAGGCTACACTTCCTGCTCCATATACCAGGAAGTGTTCATTCATAAATGACATCGAAAAGTRAAAAGAAGAACTTCAGAGATTGAAGTCCTGCTCTCAGAGATCCAGAAAAGAAAGTCGGTCATTTTTAGCAGGTCAGCTGTGGAATTAAAGGAGCTGCTGTTAATGTGTCTCCTGTGGGTCGTACAGTCACAGAAATAAACATCTAAATCATATTTATCGCTCTCTGTCCTGCTCTGGGTTACCTTTGGTCAAATATTTTTAATTCAAGTGTAAACATCTGTGTTACATAGTTTTTATTTATTCAGAAGAAGAGCCACAGCCTGAACCGTCTCCCCCTGAAAAATAACCTAATCTGTTTGAATAAAGCTCATTATATACTGAGACAAATTAAACTTCAATTAATGCAGAATTTAAGCTGGTTTGTAGTTTGAGATCTTCATATTAATATTGTAGTGTTATACAACAGCATTAATAACCAGTTTAATTTATATCATTAGTCTACATTAATACATTTAAAATTATAACTCTAATTCAAACAGAGTAGTCTATTGTCAACATAATTATGGAGTGTGATTTATTTTCATAACATCACAAACACCTAATGATTCTTTTCTTCCTTTTTTATAATTAAAGATTAAAATAGACAATTTGATCTGCCTGATGAACCAGACTTTGTCTCTCAGAAACTTGATCAGATAGAGTTCAGTTCAAGATGTGGACCTGTGAGGTCCAAGAGGTCCTTCATGCTACCTGATCATGTGACAGCASTGATGGCTGCTTCCTGCAGACTCAACGCCTACGTTACTGTGAAGCAGTTTCACTCATGTGAAACTGAAGACTGGGGATCTGTGTTTGACTCTGTGGCTTCTTAAGGACCACAAGAACCTGCAGTTTGGAACTGAAATTTCATTATAGAACTGAAAGTGAAAGTAGTCGAACTGAAGTTTTAATACAACAAAATGCAGTTTCAGAGCAAATTAATTCAAATTATTTTTTTTTCCATTTAGTGAAATTAATTTTTTAAACCAACAGATTTATTTTCAGATTCTACAAACCCAGATTCATTCTGAGAGTTTCAAAGTTTCTTCTCATTACAAAGTTAGCAGGTGTTTCTGAGACTCTTCAGGAAGTATCTGGGCTGTTTTCAACACAAATAATCAGGATTAGCAGGTTTAAATTAGTAAACTGTGAACTAAACCAGTGTTGAGTGGCAGCAGATCTCCAGAAGCACAAAATGCCACGCCTCAGTGTGTCGCACACAAAAATACATCATCATCATCATCATCATCATCATCATCATCGTCATCACACGGGGCACTAACTGCACCTATCACAAAGTGGCAAACATTTACTGTTGACAGTTTGGTTTTGCTCAGCCCTACTATTCAGGTGTTTTACCTGTCTTTAACCTGTGTTCATCTTCTGTTTCCTGCAGTTTGTCCCATTGAGTTCCCTGCTCTCCTGAGATCTTCACTAGAAGTTCTCTTCCTAAATGAGAACCAGCTGGAGTGTGTTCCTCAGTCAGTGTGTGGTCTGCACAACCTCACAGAGCTTTACCTGTCCAGGTGAGTCCTTAGCCAGTAGACAGTATGGG